TTGCTTTAAAATATAAATTTGCCCTACAGGCTACCTGGGTTGTGCAGTCAGTTAAGCATGGGACTCTCGGTTTTGGCTCAGGTTGTGATCTCAGGGTCGTGAGATCGAGGCCCCTGTCAGGCTCTGTACTCAGTGTGGAGTCTGTTTAAGACTGTTTCTCCCTCTCCCCCTCCCTCTCTGCACGCACATGGACACTCTCTATCTGAATAAATAAGTATATCTTTAAAAAAATAAAATATAAATATGCCCTTAAAATATAAATTTGTTGAGCACTGTAAGGATTTATCAATCACTCATACTTTTCTTTAAAACTACCTGTGATGCTTGCAGCCAGGGAATAGGGATGTTAATTAACTACACGTAGAATTTAAGAGCTTGGAGGCACTAAAACAGATTTGATTTTGAATCCCTTATTTTGTCTGCCTTCCTTAGGCAGGTAATCTCTGCAGCCCTCTAATTTACATTTAAGAGAGGATGCTTGTTCCATCAGTAGAACAGATGAATACAAAGTAAGCTTGTGGGTGAGGAGGTTAGCATAGTTCCGGGCCCATTGAAAGCCCTCAGTAAATATTTGCCATTATTTTTTATATTACTAGAGAAGGGGGAAGTAAAGGAAGAAGGGAATTTTGGAGGATAGACTAGACTAGCTAGGGGACGGCTGCTTCAGTGGGTCAGTGGCTACCTCAAGAACTCAGAATATCAGGTGACCAGGGCTAGGGCCACAGTGGGAGGAAAGAAAACAGAATAGCTAAGAAGCCAAAGGTGCCCATGTAAACAGCTTTGGTCCCTCACATTTGGAAGCTTTACAGTTGATTGAAAGGCATCAGAAGCTGGTTGGTCTCAGGGTTGTTCCTAATGCCTTTTCTCTGAAACTGTTCTAGATCCTGGAGTTTTAGATCCTGTAAATCGTAAATGGCTGCTTAGACTAATTCTGGTAAAGCTTTTAAAGGTTCAGGGAGGTTAGAAATTTGAGGAAGGATAAAAGATCAGATCAAATTTCATCTAAATTGAGTTCATCCTTAGAATATACTTAAGTTTCTAAATGTCTAATCCTTCTAAAGGATCCTTCTAAAGGATACCCTTGAGGATTAGGAGAGGGGATAAAAAAGGCTTTAATTGGTAAAAGAAAGTTTTTTAAATTATATGGACTAAAAAACAGCAGAGGAGGAAAGCAGTGTTGGAATTACTGAAGAAATACATGGTACACGTCAAAATCTATGGGAAGGTATATCTATCTACAGAATTCAACATAATCTGCCCCGTTGGTGGGTCTCTGGTCTGATCCTGGCTGCCCTCTAGGCTGCATTTTTCAGGACTGACTGAAAAACTATGCTGTTCTGAGCCGTCTCAGGCATCCAGGTAGGAATGCTTCAATGCCAGGTGTTGGATACTGGTTAAGTGATGGGTTCTTCATTTCTAAAATTACAAAGTGAATTCTAATAACTGCATTCTACAGTGTTTCAGGACTGCCAAGTTATGTGCTTGATAAATATGAGTTGATCTAGCTAGAATTTTCCCCTCCAAAACTTTACAAAGAATTTTACAGAGGCAGATGTCTTTTAAAATGTATATATTGGGGCACCTGGGTGGCCCAGTCCATTAAGTGTCTGCCTTCAGCTCAGGTCATGATCCCAGGGTCCTGGGATAGTGCCCCGTGTCAGGCTCCCTACTCGGCAGGGAGTCAGCTTCTCCCTTTCCCTCTGCCCTGCTTGTGCTCTCACTCCCTCTCTCTGTCTCAAATAAATAAAATCTGTTTTAAAAAAATAAATTTTCGGGCACCTGGGTGGCTCAGTTGGTTAAGTGACTGCCTTCAGCTCAGGTCATGATCCCAGGGTCCTGGGATCGAGTCCCGCATCGGGCTCCCTGCTCTGCGGGGAGCCTGCTTCCCTCTCCCACTCCCCCTGCTTGTGTTCCCTCTCTCGCTGTGTCTCTCTCTGTCAAATAAATAAATAAAATCTTAAAAAAATATATATATATATTTTCAAAGTAATCTCTACTTGAATCCACAACCCTGAAATAAAGGGTTGCATGCTGTATGGACCGAGCCACCCAGGTGCCCCATTTAATTAACTATTTTAATCATAGTATTTGCTTTGTAAGGAAATAGGTGCTCTTATTTGAAATTGTAACATATAGATACTGTGCATATCAATCTTAGCATTATCAGTATTCAATAATGTGTGCCTTCAGACTACTAGTATTTATTTTATTTTTTCCAATGTTTTATCACAATTGCCTGTCTTGTTTTCAGTTATTTTGGTTTTGGCAGGCTTATAGTCTACAAAAATGAATGGAAACATGTATAAGGAAAAGTAGGCCCCTTTCCCACTCTGCAGCCAATCTCCCATTTCCCCTAGAGTGTCAGTCACTGTTACCTTTTTTTGGTATCCTTCTGGAAATGTTTTATAACCCTATAACTGATATAGCTTCCTATCTCCCCACCATATTTACTCTTCTGCACCTTGCTTTGTTCTTTTAAGAGTATATCTTTCTGGACGCCTAAATGGCTTGGTTGGTTGGGCGTCTGCCTTCGGTTCAGGTCATGATCTCAGGGTCCTGGGATAGAGCCCCGCATCGGGCTCCCTGCTCAGCAGGAAGCCTGCTTCTCCCTCTCCCTCTGCTGCTCCCTCTGCTTGTTCTCTCTCTCTCTGTCAAGTAAATAAATAAAATCTTTAAAAAAAAAAAAAGATTATATCTTTCTTTTAAAAAAAATATGGATACCCCTCTGACCCTCTTCCCTCTTTTGCTCTCTGTCTCACGTGCTCTCTCTCTCAGATAAATAAATAAAATCTTTAAAAAAAAAAAAAAGATTATATCTTTCTTTTAAAAAAAATATGGAATGCTTCATGAATTTGTGTGTTCCTTGCACAGTGGCCGTACTAATTTTCTCTGTATGGTTCCAATTTTAGTGCTGGCGAAACAAGCACTTAAGAGTGTATCTTGAAGATAGCTCTTTATTTTTCTATTTCTTTCATTTAAATACCAAAGGACTTGAAGCAACTTTATTACTTAAAAAATAAAGCTTTAAAAATAAGAAACATAGGGACGCCTGGGTGGCTCAGTCGATTAAGCGGCTGCCTTCGGCCCAGGTCATGATCCCAGGGTCCTGGGATCGAGTCCCATATCGGGCTCCTTGCTCAGTAGGGAACCTGCTTCTCCCTCTCTCTCCCTCTGCTTGTGCTCTGTCAAATAAATAAAATCTTAAAAAAAAAAAAAAAATAAGAAACATATTGTATGGGTAATTGGTTTTTCAATAAGTTTAACTGCTGGTTTTGTCTGTGGGAAAGTAACAATAGTTTATATAGTTAACTAATCACATAAATTCAAATAAGCATGAGCAAAAAGAATAGAACCCCAGGTGTATTTACCCTTTCAAATATGAGGTCAACACAAGGACTATTAATTTGCAGCCTTTCTGTGGACTGCAGTTGGGAAAGTTGGATCATTGTGGTTTTGGTTTTTTTTTAAGGATTTTATTTATTTATTTGAGAGTGAAAGTGAAAGTGAGAGTGAGATCCCAGGATCATGACCTGAACCTAAGGCAGTTATTTAACCAATTGAGCCACCACCCAGGTGCAACCTTGGATCACTATTTTTAGAACTTGAGGCAAGCGGTAGAAACCATTTTGAATATGGGGAAGGATATGCAGGATGACCAAAACCACAGAGATTCAAAGCCAGCTGTGACAGAATTAGCATTTTGCAGAACTAGAGGATTATGGTTAAAAATTCTAAAAGATCTGTTTAATCTCTTCCAACACAAAATAAGTATGCCTATAGTTTAAACTATAGTGAAACATTCTAAAAGTGAGAATTCGATAAAATTTTATTATTTAATGCTAAGATGGAAGAAACTGCATCTGGAGAGTAAGATGAATTCCATTTACCCCTTTATCAGCTCTATTACTTGAGCCCTTAAGATTCTTTTTTTGAACAGAGTAGGATTAAATAGTGGGCAGGGGGGGGCGCCTGGGTGGCTCAGTCGTTAAGCGTCTGCTTTCGGCTCGGGTCATGATCTCAGGGGGGAGTCCGCTCAGCGGGGAGTCTGCTTCTCCCTCTCCCTCTTCCCCTGCTTGTGCTCTCTCTCAAATGAATAAATAAAAATCTAAAAAAAAAAAAATAGTGGGCAGTGGTATATTTTTTAAAACCCAAAGATTTAGCGGCACCTGAGTGGCTTGGTCGGTTAAGCATCTGCCTTCGGCTCAGGTTATAATCCCAGGGTCCTGGAATCGAGTCCCACATTGGGCTCCTTGCTCAGTGGGGAGTCTGCTTCTCCCTCTCCCTGCCATTCTGCCTACTTGTGCTCTCTATGTTGCTGTCAAATAAATAAATAAAATCTTTAAAAAACAAATTAAAAAACCCCCCCAAAACCCCAAACATTTAATTATACTTTGATTAGAACCAGGCCCCAGAATAACTGTAAGATTCAGAAATCTGTCATTTTGAAAAAACACCAAAAATTCCTAAGCAAGTTGGTATACAGATCACAAGTGACACATGAGCCATAACACTCTTCGAGGGCTTCACACAACTTAGTATGTTATCTTTAAATGATCAGTGAAAAATTTTAATGAATAAATTATATTTCAGAAATTATGTGCTGCTTTTTTGGACATTAGTCATGTCTTAAAATTTTACTTTCTGACCACTTCCTTTACATTTATAAATGCTACACTTCTCTCAAACTCGAAATGTTTATTTTACTGAAATAGTGGGGTGAAATGTAAATGAAAATTGTACAGGCTATTGAGAAACGTCTGTGCCCTGTAGAAGCACAAGGTGTAGAAGATAGGTGTGTCTTCCCTGTCCTGACTCTGTTATTGTCTGGCCCACCTAAGCTGGGAAGTGGTGTTCCCAGGGGGGTCTGTTCCTCTTTGTTCCTTGTCATCCAGACCTCTCAGGTGTTTTCTTCTAGATAGTGTACTGCCTGTGTACTCTGTATTGCTTAGATAAATGTTTCCAAAGGGCTAATGTTCTTTTTATAACTTTACTTTTTCTAGATATAAAGACCTGAAGGTAGTCTTTTCTCCAAAGATGGAAAAGAGTACCACTGTCATTTCACGGGAGGAACTGGAAGAGCTACAAGAAGCATTTAATAAAATAGGTATGCTTGAGAAAACCTAAATACGACATTGCTATTCTGCTCGATATCAGACTTCCAGGAATGGAACAATAACTTTTATTGGTTTTACTACCACCCATTTACCCCTAGCTTTATTCCCCCTCCTTCCCCTCCCCCCCGCCCCCATCTAGGTTTCACTGGATTCTTTTTTTCTTTCTGAAAGATAAACTAAGACTGGCTTAAATTTCTAGGAGAATTGGACTTTGAATTCTTTGATAATTTCTTTGCCAAGAGTAATGGAGGTTAATGAATGACAGTGTAACTGCATATGCTTAACATGATATCCTCATTACAGAGAGAAAATATAGAAACACTTCCTTGTTTATAAACTGAACTCTGGACTTCATGTGTTTGTCGCTAACAATAACACTTTATTTCATGCAGAATATTTTAAAATCTGAATATTGTTTTTAAAGGCCGTATGTCTTAATTTCCTTCTCCCTCATGCATAATTTTAAAAAATGTTGGGGTTGTTTTTAAAGGCTGCATATCCTATTTTTCTTCTTTCACTTTTTAAAGCTGAATGGTATTTTGCCTTTATGACATTATCATTTGACAGCTTTGTATTTTTCTTCCCAAAACATCCCCTCATACTCTGTTGAATTGCGATTCTTCCGTACTTTGTTCCTAGGAAACCTGTGGCAAACAGGAATATAAAGAATGTCTTTTGCTCTAGTCTGCGAAAGCATGCAAGTGAAAGGTGAGCACAGTGACAGGACACTGGGACGGTGACACCACCACCCCTGCCCCTCCCACAGTAGGCTCCTTCTCTGGTACAGAAGAGCAGTCCATGAGAAACAGTCAGATGGTAGACCAGGGAGGTTATGTAATGATCACAGTTGGTCCCGTGCCTAGATTTCTCACAAACCTCGTGAATAATCACTAAAATTCATGTAGATGAAATGTAGTGCAGAATGAATTTTAGAGACCGATGGGGGAAAAAAAAAAAAGAAAGATTTTTGTTTAAAAAAGAAAGCTCTCCAAAAAAAAAAAGTAAAGCTGCCAGGAAGCTCATAACTTACAAATATTGCTATGAAGTAAAGTGAGGTGTACAAACCCCTGGGCCCTTCCACCTCTCCCTGCACAGCCATCCCCAGAGTAACTCAAACCTTCCAAATACAGGCTACAGGGTGGCTGAATTAGGCTCATAGTGAAGGCCTTAATTCTGATCTTTTCATTATTTTGAGTATGGTATGTTTGTCAGTAGAGCATTGCATGAATATGATACGATTTCTAGAAGATTATTATTAATAATAAATTTCATGGAGTATTGTATGCAGTGCCCAGAGTCTCTTCAAGACACAAATTGGGCAATTATTGGACTGGTCTGCTCATTTTGAGCATTGAAACAGAGGAAGTAATAAAAATGTTATCTCTGAGTTTGCTATTGCTCTTATTTTATAGTGCAGTTTGGTAGCTTGAACAGAAGTGCTACCTAAGTCTTAGTGAAATGTGAATGAATTAGTAATCCCTTTTCTTTGTGTAGCTTTACTCTTTATGACTCACGGACATATAATCCTGCAATATTTATTTAATGATATTTTGAATAAATAATTCATCGATGGAACAAATCTGACAGCCGGATAATTTGCTCTCTGTGAGGACAGTGCTAACACGAGCACAATATGTACTAGCTTTACTGACAAGATAAATTGCTACTTATGAACTCAGTTTTCTCTCTGATAATTTCTACCAAACAACTTTTCTAAGGGGCAGAGGGACATGCCCATCCAACCTTACTACATGAGATGTTTTTTTGGGTCTCAAGGGAGACATGGCAGGTTAGAATATTTGTCTTCTTTCTTTTTTATTTCTTTATAAGTTTTGGTAAAATAGGCGTAACAAAACTTACCATTTTAATAACTTTTAAGTATACAGTTCAGTGGTGTTACGTACAGTCATGTTGTTATGCAACCATACCACTATCTCTAGAACTTTTTCATCTTCCCAAACCCATTAAATACCAACTCCTCATCTTTTATAACATTCTGTTTTATGTCTACATCACATTTTGTTTATCCATTCATCTGTCAAAGGACACCTAAGTTGTTTCTACCTTTTTGCTATTGTGAATAATGTTGCTGTGAACATGAGTGTACAAATATCTGTTCACATTTCTGCTTTCAGTTATTTTGTGTATATATTCAGAAGTGGTATTGCTGGATAATATGGTAATTCTGTGTTTAATCTTTTGAGGAACCATCATGCTCTTTTCTGTGGTGGCTGCACATTTTACAGTCCCATCAGCAGTGCATAAGGGTTTCAATTTCTTCAAATCCTTGTCAACACTTGCTATTTTCTGTTAAAAAATTTTTTTTTTTGTAATAGCCATCCTCATGAGTGTGAAGTGGTATCTCATTGTGGTTTTGATCCGCATTTCCCTAATGTTTTGTGATGTTGAGCATCTTTTCATATGTGTATTGGACAGTTGGATAACTTCTTTGGAAAAGTGTCTCTTCATTTATGACTGTTCAGTGTCTATTTCTTCTGCCCACTTTTTAATCATAAGTTGTTTGTTTTTGATGTTGTTGAATTATAGGAAAGTCTTATTTCTTTTTAAACTCTAGTCTTTATGATAATTTAACCTAAGCCTTGATTTCATCTTTAAAATTAGAATAATATTATCTACTACCTCAAGGTTGTTATAGGATTTCACTAGATAAGTTCTTAACAAATCATGTGGCACAGAATATGTGCTTATTAAATGGTATCTATTATTTCTTGTCACATCATACCCAAACCACAGAGGCCATAGGGATGGAGCTGGGATTTAAGCACACAGACCTATTCATCTTCAGACTCCCAGCTCCTAAGTATTCTTGTTAGTATAGCATGACGGTTAGCAGGTAAACAACTTTCCTCAATCTTGCATGCGAGGGTGGGGGAGATGGACAGAGGGAGAGGGAGAGAGAGCATCTTAAGCAAGCTCCACGCTCAGCGAGGAGCCAGATTCGGGGCTCAGTCTCATGACCTAGAGATTATGACCTGAGCCAGAATCAAGAGTCAGACACTTAACCAACTGAGCCACCCAGGCACCCCTCAATCTTGTTTATTTTTAAATACCCTCTGCCACGGTGCTGGTAAAGAAGTAAGCCAGCTAGTTTATTTGCCTATTTCAGAATTATAGGAAACAGTTCTGAACTTGTGATGTATTAAATAATGATATTTTGCTCTAAGTTCAAAGAAAATAATATTATTATTGCAATATCAAGGTTCCTAGCTGACTTTTGAGATTATAGCAATATTTTAGTTATTGGTAGATTCTAGTTGAGAAACTTTTAATTATTCTAAACAGTGTTAATTCTAAAACTTGTGTATGAGAGTTTAAAAGAAAAGTTTCTGTCTTTATCATTAATTGAGTTATAGTGAGGATGGCTCTTTCATCAAGAGGAAAAAGTGAAATAGAGGAAACAAAGCAACTATTAGCAGATGAGCCAAGAAAGCCTATATAACAAGGTGGATCCAGGCAACTAGCCAAACAATCCAAAGTTCTGTTGCCAACTCTGGGCAGGACTGTTTTGTGTTGCCTTTGTTCTGTGTCAAGAAGTGTTATCTAATCTGCAGGGAAAACCTAGGGAAGGGCACCTCAGTGATAATGTGAAAATGCCTGGAAACCTATTTTCAGAAGTCCAAATACAGGCGTGAAATGATTTCTTGAACACTTAATGTCAAAATGACATCAAACATGATTCAGCCTACATAATGGTATCATAAATACATAATGAAGAAGCAATGAATTATTGACAAATGAAACAGAACTGCCACCAAGTGAAATGTATAACAGAAATACCTTATTGTATTTAGTACACAAATATGATGCACATATTTTATACAGAATGTGGAACCTGCAGATCCATTTTGTAAATTCTCTGAAGGAGTTAAAATCTGGGTGGGTATTCCCTCATGACCATTGCTGCTGTTTCTTCTAGCTGAGACTTGTCCATGTTTAGTTCTTTGAAATTTAGTTGTGTGCTAAGCCTGGGTTTTTCATCTGTCAGAGCAGTGTTCATACTATGTACTTAAAATATGCATGGAGTCCTAAATCTGTGTGGATAAAGTCCATTTAAATATGAGTTTTTTGACAAAGTGTATAGACTGCCTTGTACAGTTCAGATACAGGAGAAGAGGTGACTGCAACTTGCGGAACAAACCTGAAAGGTTCTACCTGCCTGTGAATCTCCCACTAGGCCTTCTGGGTGCACACCTCTAATGAAGAGTGCGAATGATATTTGACAGCTCATAATTTATCTTTACAGATATTGACAACAGTGGGTATGTTAGTGACTATGAACTTCAGGACCTGTTTAAGGAAGCGAGCCTTCCTCTGCCTGGATACAAGGTGCGCGAGATTGTGGAGAAAATTATAGCAGTTACTGACAACAACAAAGATGGCAAAATCAGTTTTCAAGAGTTTGTGTCAGTAAGTAATCCCATCCTCTCCTGGTTACTGATCTTTTAGCTTTGAGCAGAATTTTAGTACTGTCATTGCTCTCTTTGGTTAAATCTGGCTGCAGAGACCAGAAAAAAGCACTGCTTTGTAATGATGGTGATGATGGTGATGATGGTGATGATGGTGATGCTGATGATGATGATGGTAACAACATAGTGTCTACAAATAATTCATAAAAGAAAGGGAAAAATCATTCTCAAATTGTTAGAAGTCAGGTTTTGACAGTAATAGCTCACGTGCTAGTAAAACTAGAGTTGAGTTTGGTGCTTATTGACTATCCGTATACAGAATGTTTTAATGTCTCAGTACTTGGTCTTGAGAAATGGAATATTTTTTGTGACTGACATAGCTAAGGTATGGAAGCTATACTTCTAGAAGCTGGTTATTTCCTTGTGATAAGTTATACCTTTAGTTTCAGCAAATGCCACCAGGTAGATGTTGGTGCTAGCTCTGATAGCATTGTCATTACTAAAGTACCTCAAGGCTCAGGGAAGTGAACAAGATGAAAAGTAATACATGACTCAACCAACAGAAGAAAAATAGCTTGTAGAACTGAATCTTGAATATCATGTATTTCAAACTCTTGGGCCAAGAGAGATGACTTGACCACATTGCCATTGCCGGCTGAGCACTTCTTCCTACGCCGCCACCAGGACTGTATGTGTCATATGGAAATAGGACTTGGTGGTGAGGCCGGAGAACCCAGGGACTCAGGGAATGTGTCCTGGGAGCTCTGAAGACTGAGCTGAGATCCGAAGAAAGATGTTAAACAGATCTAAGGGGCTGAGTGGGGAAAATGAATGATGTGCGAGGCCAGGGACGTGACAGCCTGTGTGGAGGCTCTGTGTGGCTTTAGGGATGGTAGATACTCTCAAGCACTTGGAAAAAAGCTGAGTGTGGGTAGGGCGAGATGGTAAGGGAATGGAATGCAGCTAGGGAAGTAAGTTGGGGTCAGGTCATGCAGGATCTTGTAGGATTTTCATTTTTATCATAAGAGCAATAGGAAGCCAGTGATGTAGGAAGAAGAGAGTGTGAAGTGACATGATCAGATTCAGATTTTTTTAAAATCTCACTCTGGCTGCTGCTTGGAGTACTGATTAAATTCAGTCTAGCCAATCATGAGAGTGATTGGGAGAGGGCATTTCTCCAAGCCTCTCTAATTTCCTACAGTATCTGACTTACTGATTTTAACTTCGCAATGTTCAGACAGGCAAATATCTTCATTAAAGCATTTAAAAATCTTTATCATGTAGTTAGTTATTCTTTAGTTTTCAAAAGACACAACAAAAGGCCGTGGCAAGCACAGGAGAATAATTTCAGTGTATTCAATTTAGTATTCAATTTAAGCTTAATTATAACAAAATTTCTTCTAGTGTTTGGGGTGCAGACGTTTATACATTTTGTGCTCTGGGTAAGATGATATGAGAGGTATCTGTGTACACAACCAATAAGGGTGAGAATACCTGATTGGGATTTATTTTGATGTCATTCCAAATAAATAAAGAAGTCTAAACAATTATCCTTCACACTGCAAGGTTTTTTGATTGTCTGATCAAGGCTCAATTTTACTTATATTCCATTCCAGCTGATGCAAGAGTTAAAAAGCAAAGACATCAGCAGGACATTCCGCAAAACAATTAACAAGAGAGAAGGAATTACTGCTATTGGAGGAACTTCATCCATTTCCAGTGAGGGCACACAGCATTCTTATGCAGGTAACCTGCCAATCTAAATTTGATCTTTCAGTCATTGATTCATTCACTAAGACTGATATTTCATCAAGTCTAAGATGCCATTCATTTGTGAAATTTGTGAAATTTGGTTTGCTGACTAAGATTTTCTGTTTTCAGAGGAAGAAAAAGTGGCTTTTGTTAACTGGATCAACAAAGCCCTGGAGGATGACCCTGATTGTAAGCATCTCCTACCCATGAATCCCAATGATGGCAGCCTTTTCAAATCACTTGCAGATGGCATCCTTCTTTGGTGAGTTGAACATTAGATTAAGGGAGATATGTTCTTCCTTTCCCCATTGATGAGCATTCAGTAAAAACTACAACTCAGCGAACAAGTAGCATTGTAGATATTGAAGAATTTATATCGCATGGAAAATTAAGTACCAGATGCTTTTCAAAATTTTTCTTCAAATGCAATTTCTTAGTTTTCTGATGCCTTTTCTATTTCCTTACTGAGGCCAGGATAGTTTTGAGTTATTCCTTTGATGTATTTAAAAATGTTCACAAGGTTTCTTTTTTTTTCATTTTTAGTAAAGAATTATTGCCTGGGACAGGGACACGAGGAAATGTAAAAGAAAGATAGATCTCATTTTGGTTAAATGAAATTAATGTTTTAAGTCAGTCTTGTCATGTCCTTGGCTCTTTGCAGTATGTTTCTGCTCACTAGACTGTAAACTCTCTAGGGGCATATCTTTGTTTCTGTTGTGTGTACTATAGTCCCAGCATACTTCTTTGTACAAAGCAGGTGTTTTTTTTTTTTAAGTTTATAAAAATATAGAAAACTTACAAAGAAGAGTAAGTATCACAGATATTCTTATCACCCATAGTTAGCTATTATTAATATTCTGGCATGTTTCTTTCAGTCTTTTTCTTCTGTGTTTTTACTTAAAAAGAAAAAAAAAAAAACACTCCAACCTATGCACAAGTACAGGATATTAGTTTTTAAGTAACATATAAAATATACCTTGACTTCTACCTACAGTTCTAATCTCTTTCTCTGACCTTCAGAGGAAATTCCTATTATGAATTGAATGGGTATTTTTCTTTTTTTTTTTTTAAAGATTTTATTTATTTATTTGAGACAGAGAGAATGAGAGAGAGAGAGCACATGAGAGGGGGGAGGGTCAGAGGGAGAAGC